AGAAAGTCACTCTTTGGCTCTTTTTGGCTCCTTGTGAGCGGATACCTGTACAGAACCCATCCCGGAGTGAGGCCTTAGGTGCTGCAAACTGCCCAGGGGAAGGGGATCCTTAACGGTTTGTTACCAGACCAGGCTGATTCGGTTCTAAAGGAGACTTCCAGCAGGCATCTTTGAGATTTACATATACATATATGCGCATAAGGGTTGCGCATCTGGTGAGTGCGTATTCCTAACAATTTCACGGCACGTCACCAGGATGTTGTAAGGAGCACTTATCTGAGACCCTCTCAGATGGATCATCACTTCTAAGCACTTTATATGAACTGTTTTAAGGACTTGAGGAATACAAATGATTATTAAAAACAGCACTGTTTTGACTCAACAGATGGCTTATGCTCTCATCTAAGTGAGATATAGAAAACTTCTTACAAGCGTATATACCAATGATTACATGACAAAGCATACATATGTTCTATCACTTTCTATTACTATCAAAAGGCTTCCTAAACTCTGCAGAATAACCTTGGCCAGCAGCTGCAGATAAGCATACCAGCTATGAACCGGTACACATTATTCACAGAAAATAAGGGAGGGGGGAAGATGAGCCAAAAACCTTGCAAGCTGATACTGTTAGAAATGTTTCCTTTTAAAGGGGAACTCTGCCATATCTGGGTGCTACCGAACTCCGTTTTCAGATGTGTGGGGCCATTAAGAATGAATGGCAGCTTCACACATCTGCAAAAGAGCCCTACAGTTTGGCTGTGGGTGGTTGCGGGTGTGCAAAGTGTTGTGATTTACAAGTTTTACCGCACACGCAACTATCCATACAAGTGTGAACCTAGCTTTTGCAGGCCATAGATGGTTCATTTTCGACTGAAAAACAAAATATCGGTCGTTCTGTTGCCACCAGCATGACCGATAAAAGAAATGAGGAGGAACTGCAAAAATTGGCTGATGACATTGCCCCATTAACAGTGGAAAAATCGGCTGATTATACTTTCGGACGAAAAATCAGCCGATAAACGAACCGTCTATGGCCTGCATTAATTGTCCTGATTACCATTACTAGAAAGAATGGAAAAGCATCCTCTCACTTCCTGTTGAGTCTACAGGACAGGAATGGAGGGGAACTCCCTAATAAGACAGACACCTAAAAAAAAGTTAGTGGTTTACCCTCCTCAACCATATTAAAAAAAAGAAAAAATGGCTTTACAGTGGGGATCGAACGTTTGGGCACCCCAGCTAAAAATTTGTATTAATGTGCATAAAGAAGCCAAGGAAAGATGGAAAAATCTCCAAAAGGCATCACATTACAGATTAGACATTCTTATAATATGTCAACAAAAGTTAGATTTTATTTCCATCATTTACACTTTCAAAATAACAGAAAACAAAAAAATGGCGTCTGCAAAAGTTTGGGCACCCTGCAGAGTTAATATCTTGTACTGCCCCCTTTGGCAAGTATCACAGCTTGTAAATGCTTTTTGTAGCCAGCCAAGAGTCTTTCAATTCTTGTTTGAGGTATCTTTGCCCATTCTTCCTTACAAAAGTCTTCCAGTTCTTTGAGATTTCTGGGCTGTCTGTCACGCACTGCTCTTTTAAGGTCTATCCATAGATTTTCAATGATGTTGAGGTCAGGAGATTGTGAAGGCCATGGCAAAACCTTCAGTTTACGCCTCTTGATGTAATCCCCCATGGATTTCGAGGTGTGTTTAGGGTCATTATCCATTTGTAGAAGCCATCCTCTCTTTAACTTCAGCTTTTTCACAGATGGCATCAAGTTACCATCCAAAATTTGCTGAAATTTTATTGAATCCATTTTTCCTTCTACTCGTGAGATGTTCCCTGTGCCACTGGCTGCAACACAACCCCAAAGTATGATTGATCCAACCCCATGCTTAACAGTTGGACAGAGGTTCTTTTCATTAAATTCTGTGCCCCTTCTTCTCCAAACGTACCTTTGCTCATTCCGGCCAAAAAGTTCAATTTTAACCTCATCGGTCCACAGAACTTGCTTCCAAAATGCATCATGCTTGTCTATATGTTCATTTGCAAAGTTCAAACGATGATTTTTGTGGTGAGGATGTAGAAGAGGTTTTCTTTGGATGACTCTTCCATGAAGACCATATTTGTACAAGTATCTCTTTATAGTGGAATAGTGTACCACAACTCCAGTGTCTGCCAGATCTTTCTGGAGGGATCGTGCAGTCAAACGTGGGTTTTGAATTGTTTTTCTCACAATCCTGCGAGCTCTTCTGTCTGATATTTTTCTTGGTCTTCCAGATCTTGCTTTAACTTCCACTGTTCCTGATGACTGCCATTTCTTAATTACATTCCAAACAGAGGATATTGACATCTGAAAACGCTTTGATATCTTCTTATAGCCTTCTCCAGCTTTGTGAGCGTCAACTATTTTCAGTTTCAGTTTTCTAGACAACTGCTTAGAAGAGAACCCATGGTGCTGATTGTTGGCGCAAGGTCAGATGAGTCTGGGCATTTAAAACCTTTGAGATTGACATCACCTGGTCTTCCCAGACGGTGATTGAGAACAATCCATGACACTGGCAGGTCTCAGCTTTGCAAAGGGGGCAGTGCATGCTATAAATTCTGCAGGGTGCCCAAAATTTTGCAGACGCCATTTTTTTGTTTTCTGTTATTTTGAAAGTGTAAATGATGGAAATAAAATCTAACTTTTGTTGACATATTATAAGAATGTCTAATCTGTAATGTGATGCCTTTTGGAGATTTTTCCATCTTTCCTTAGCTTCTTTATGCACATTAATACAAATTTTTAGCTGGGGTGCCCAAACTTTCGATCCCCACTGTATATATATTTAAGTAAATTTTATAGCACTTCATAGCATTGCATAAGTGTTATATCAGCTTGACAAAGCAAGATTAAAAAAAAACAAAAAACGTTTACTCACGTCTGTATACCATCACAGCTGTAAATGCGATTGCTATCAGGGCAAGGATGAGCATTAGGATATATAATGTTGTTTTATTACTCTGGGCCTCAGCACTTGGCGATGGGACTCTCTGAAATTATACGAATAGTACACTTATTATAAGAAGAATATTTTCTTGGGAAATATTAAGACAATGGAAGTTTGTTGTTGAATACAGTTTACCATCACTGGAGTCAGAAGAGTCATGGGAATTGGGCTGGTTTTTGCAGAAGTGGTATTTATGTCATCATCAGTATAACCTCCTAAAAACATGAACAAAAAACAGAATGGAATTTACAGCAGCAATAATCTGAAATGTTATATTATTTCGTTTTAGTATAATACACAATATTTTATATAAGTTTTTATTTATAGTTATTTATTTATTTATTTATATGTAGCACCCTTGTAAGGGCTGCTGGATTTGATTTGGGTCCCCTATGCTCTGCACAGCTTGGCAGCACTGGAGTCAGTAAACAGCCCTCAAGCTTGTTTTTGTACTATTATTGAGGGGTACACTTGGATAGGGTCTAGGGGTATATGGGATGCCTGAGGAACTGAAGAACTTGAGGACAACTCCTTATCAACTATGTACAAAGATTTGGATTTGCAACAGCCTCTTTTTGAAGAGCGCTAAATGCTCTTAGGTGTACCTCCTCAGATTCCAGATGATTCCTTCTTTTCACCCAACTGCCTGAGGGTATCCCTGAGCAAAGAGTCCAAAAGCTGCCGACTGAACAGTCCCAGATGGAAAACTAGTTAGGTGTTATACCTGACTGTCCTCTCCCCTTATCCGGCCCAGAATGTGTAGGAGTACTTACACTGTCCTCTCTTGTTAGTTTAGTGGGTTGGTGGCTGCCTTCAGGCCTTATACTGGGCTGCCTCCTTCCCAGCTACACAGGCTGTCCTCCACAGGAGATGTTGAGACAGTGGAGATCCTCCTCTCCAGCAACCTGCCTGTACATCCCCTCCCTGGAGTCCTCTCCCAGGCTCCTCACTAAAGCTTTCCTCAATCCAGATTCCACCCAACACTGCACACCTTCCCCCAGGCTCTGCCACATTTAGGGTTGCCCTGGTCACCATGCCCAACCTCCTGCCAGGGGATTGGCCAAGGTCCCTCAAACATGCAGATCTGGGCCTCCTTCCCTCCTCTCTCCTGCTCCAGAAAGCTCTCAGATTTCTGGAAAGGTGGGAGAGTCCAAAAGCTCTGACTCATCCCCAGGCTGCTACCCTCTATCTAACAAAAAAATGACCTACCTAACCTGGAGGGCATTACATCCACCCCCACTACAAAACAGCCACGCCCTCACTGTCTGGGGAACAAAAATGGCTCCTGAGCCCAGGAGCGGGGCATCCAATATAAAAAAAATTGAGGAGGAAAGGGAACAAATCTGGAAGGGGATATGTACAAATACATGCTTTATAAAAAAAATAAAATATATACACTTTACGTATTTACATTGCAAGTTTGACATATTTACATCCTAACTACAGCTCCCCTGTAGCTAATAGTAGGCAAGGGACAACATATGGCAACATATATACAAGTGCATTTAAGTAAGCATGGGGCACCTCCCCCTTGAGGGAAACCCTCCATAAACAGTATTAACTCTTCTTGTTCTTGAGCAGGAGAAGACAGCCTTCCTGGGGTAGCTGCAGAACAGGGGAAGAAAAACAGACACACAATCCTAGCTCTAACTATCTTCAGCATTTTTAGAGTATTGCGGCACTTCAGCAAATGTCCATTTAAATAGCATAGCAGAATATAAGGGTAGAGTGATGAGTCCAGCCAGTCCAAAAAGCAACAGGATCTGCTGGCCTTGAATCCTACGGCAGTCATTTTCAGCAGTATTTGCTGTAGATGGCCCGGCCCCTGCTCCACTCCTGCTTAACCACTTGTCTACAGGGCGCTTATACCCCCTTCCTGTCCAGGCCAATTTTCAGCTTTCAGTGCTGTCGCACTTTGAATGACAATTGCGCGGTCATGCAACATTGTACTCATTAAATTTGTATAATTTTTTTGAGACAGATAGAACCTTCTTTTGGTGGTATTTAATCACCTCTGGGTTTTTTATTTTTTGCTAAACAAACCAAAAACAACTGAAAATTTTGAAAAAAAAGTATTTTATTAGTTTCTGTTATAAAATTTTGTAAATAAGTGATTTTTCTCCTTCACTGATGTGCCTAATGAGGCTGCAGTGATGGGCTCTGATAGGCAGCACTGATGGGCACTGATGAGGAGGCACTGGTAGGTGGCACTGATGGGCATTGACAGGCATCATTGATGGGCACTGAACGGCAGCACTCATATTTGGCACTGATAGGCAGCACTGACTGTCACTGATAGGTGGCACTGACTGGCACTGTTAGGTGGCATGACTGACACTATTAGGCGGCACTGATACACACTGATAGGCGGCACTGACTGGCACTGATAGGCAGCACTAATTGGCAGCACTGATAGACGGCACTGACTGGCACTGATAGGTGTCACTGACTGGCACTGATAGGTGGCACTGAAAGGCAACTCAGATGGGCACTGATATGTGGAATTTATGTGCACTGGTATGCACTGATATGTGGCATTGATGTGGCACTGGCAAGTGGCATTGATGGGCAGTGACAGGTGGCATTGATGGACTCTGACAGGTGACACTGATGGGGTTACACTGATTATTAGGGCACACTGGTCATCAGTCCCCTGATGATCAGTTTACATGTCCCCTCTGAGTAATGCCAATTACCGGCTCTCCTCACAAGCTGTCAGCATGACAGCTTGTGAGGAGAGAAATGCTGATAACCGGCATTTCCTTATTTAAAATCGATCAGCTGTGATTGGACACAGCTGATCACATGACAGAGCCAACGTCATCGGCTCTTTCCGTTGATCGCCGAGCTGCACGCCCCCGGGGGAGCGCACACGCGGTTAGAGTGGAAGGACCTCATATGACGTCCTCCCAGAACAAGAAAACTGGCTTGCGCCCATCATTTCCTTATATGGCGGACAGGAGGCGGATAATATCCTGGAACCTTATCCAGGCCTCTTCAGTATGAGGCCCCTCTAGTCCCAGACCAGGTCATCTTACCACTTTGATTTGGACTCCTCGATGATGCCCATGATGCTTTGTGAGACACATGGAAGTCCAGTCCCCACTCTAGGGCCACCCTTTTCTGTACCTCCCTCTGGAAACAAGAGAACCAGAGAATCGCCTTTGTTCACAGAGGCCCTGTCCTGGGTGGAGGCACGGCTAACTTTATTATCAAACCAACTCTACCACATAGTGAAAGTTCTGGTTCTCTTATTTAATTACATATCTTGTTTGGGGAGGGCATGTGTCATGCCCCCCCCCTCTCCAAAAGAGGGCTACACTAACAACAACATACAAAGCCATCCATAACTCTGCCCTAAGCTAAATCACCAACCTCATCTCAAAATATTACCCAGACTGTCCTCTTCTCCTGTTCTCCGAAGACCTTCTGCTCTCCAGCCCCCTTGTCTCCTCCTCAAATGCTCACCTCCAGGACTTCTCCAGTGCTCCTCTAGAACTCGCTACCCCACCCTGTCTATCTACTTCCCTGTCTGCCTTTAGATCAAGGGTATCCAGACTTTCTAACTAATAGGGAAAGTTTATTCTCCTTCAGACTTTAGGAGGGCTGGACTGTGGCCAGTGATAATAGAAAATACCCCAGCATCTGTGGGAGCAGCAATGCGTCAGGCTTGGGAGTAAGAAAATTACATAGCAATAGTCAGTAGCAGGAGGAAAAGTACCCCATCATTGATGTCAGTGGGAAAACTAGTGCCCCATCACTGGTGATAAATTGAAATACTATTGCCCCACCATTGGTGTCAATTGGAGGAATAGTGCCCTATTGTTGGTATTTCTACATTGGTGTAAATAGGAGAAATTATACACCATTGTTGGTGCCAGTGGAAGTGGGAGGAATTATGTGTCACTGTTGGTGTAAGTGGAAGGAATGGTTCCTCATTGTTGGTGTCAATAGGAGAAATAGTGCCTTTTATCGCTGGGAGGAATAGTGCCCCAAGTGGCAGTTTGGAGACCACTGTTTTAGATGATCCCTGAAAACTCATCTTTTCAGTGATGGCTTTCCCACCTCCACTAAAAATTATTTTCTCCATCAGCTCATCCCTCACATTATCAAGTTTTATATGTGCTTGCCCCTCTCTATCAGATTGTAAGCTCTCATGAGCAGGACCTCCTAACCCACATGTATTGAATTGTGTTGTATCTATAAAGTACACTCATACAGTTGCAAGAAAACGTATATGAACCCCTTGGGATTACGTGGAGTTTTGCATGAATTGGGCATAAAATGTGCTCTGAACGTCATCTACGTCACAACAATAGAAGAACACAGTCTGCTGAACATAATACTACACAAACAGTAGATGTTGCCATGGTTTAATTGCACATAACATGTAAACATTCACAGTGCAGGGAGGAAGAAGTATGTGAACCTTTGGACTTAATAACTGGTTGACCCTCCTTTGGCAGCAATAACCTCAACCAAACGTTTCCTGTAGTTGCAGATCAGACCTGCACAACAATCTGGAGTAATTTTGGACCACTCCTCTTCACAAAACTGTTTCAGTGTAGCAATATTCTTGGGATGTCTGGTGTGAATCGCTCTCTTAAGGTCATGCCACAACATTTCAATCGGGTTGAGGTCAGGACTCTGACTGGGCCACTCCAGAAGGCGTATTCTGTGCTGTTGCAGCCATTGTTTTGTTGAATTACTTGTATGCTTTGGGTCATTGTCCTGTTGCATCACCCATCCTCTGCGGAGCTTCAGTTGGTGGACAGATGGTCGTACGTTTTCCTGCAAAATGTGTTGATAAACTCTGGAATTCATTTTTCCATCAATGACAACAATCCGTCCAGGCCCTGAGGCAGCAAAGCAGCCCCAAACCATGATGCTTCCTCCGCCATGTTTTACAGTGGGGATGAGGTATTGATGTTGGTGTGCTGTGCCTTTTTTTCTCCACACATAGTGTTGTGTGTTCTTCCCAAACAACTCAATCTTGGTTTCATCTGTCCACAGTATATTTTGCCAGTAGTGCTGTGGAACATCCAGGTGCTCTTTTGCAAACGTCAAACATGCTGCAATATTCTTTTTGGACAGCAATGGCTTCCTCCGTGGTATCCTCCCATGTACTCCATTCTTGTTTAATGTTTTCCTTATTGTAGATGTGTCAACAAAAATGTTAGCATGTGCCAGAGATTTCTGTAGGTCTTTAGCTGACACTCTGATTCTTCTTTACCTCATGCAGCATTCTGCACTGCGCTCTTGCAGTCATTTTTACAGGACGACCCCGCCTAGGGAGAGTAGCAACAGTGCTAAACTTTCTCCATTTGTAGATAGTCTGTCTTACCATGGACACATGAACATCAAGGCTTTTGGAGATACTTTTGTAACCCTTTCCAGCTTCATGCAAGTCAACAATTCTTGATCGTAGGTCTTCTGAGAGCTCTTTTCTGCGAGGCATGGTTCACATCAGACAGTGATTTTTGAAACCAGTAAACCCAAAACAGGTGTGTGTTTTTTAAGGGCAGGACAGCTGTCAGCAACACATCCAATATCATCACACTGATTGGAGTCAAGGTTGGCTCACTCCTGGCTCCAATTAGCTCTGGTAGAAGTCATTAAACTAGGGCCTCACATACTTTTTCCTCCCTGCACTGTGAATGTTTACATGTTATGTGCAATTAAACCATGGCAACATCTAATGTTTGTGTAGTATTATGTTCAGCAGACTGTGTTCTTCTATTGTTGTGACTTGGATGACATTCAGAGCACATTTTATGCCCAATTCATGCAAAACTCCACGTAATCCCAAGGGGTTCACATACTTTTTCTTGCAACTGTATGCTCTGTTATGGGTAGAGTGTCACTGTTAGACATCAGTGGATTGTGTACTCTGTGGTTTATATTGACAACAGTGTATGATTACCTGACAAGTGAAGTTTTTTACTGAATATACGCAAAATTTCTAGCAAATTGATTAATGACGGATCCTATTTTCCCTTAACAGGTTTACAGTGTTCAGTATGAGACAGTCTGATGTAGCTCTCCAAACCCTTCTATTTACAGCTGATGACTGCAAGTTTTCCTCTGTTTTACAGTGCAGACAAGAGATGAGTTAAGAGGAGCAGGATCAAGAGATTGCAAAAAAAAATCCAAGTACATAATAAGGTGGGGCTACTCACAGGTATAGTCAAAGTGGAGAAAAGAAATACTGTACATTACAACTGGGATATTGTGGCAGGGGCAGTCGCAGCTCTACTGCAAGGAATAATTTTCAAATCTCCCTAGGTTAGGCTTTAAATCCCAACTCCAGGAATTACACAAAATCTAACCTTGCAGTGAGGCACCCTGCACTGTAAGGGTTAACTTTTTGTTCAGTCTATTGGTGCAGGAATAAGGAGCAATACTTACCTTATTCTTTGCTCCAGGAGGGTCCCTTCAGGATAGCAACCAACCCCACAAAGCCTCCTCTCTAAGATGCTCTTGGCTCTGGTCCCAATCCTGATTCCTCCATTAACAATGCAGGGATATTAGCCCTGCACTGCATATAATGAAGACAAGGGACCACTGCAACCCAGAGCGCTGGAGCTAGAGCAGGAGAGCACTGGATTCAGCTGGAGCAGGGTGTAAGGTAAGTGATGCAGCTTTTTTTCATCCTCCCTAAGGAGCATTAAACCCTTGCATTGTGTGTGGGAAAGGGGGTTGGGGGGGAACAGGGGCCACCAAAAAAGGTAGATTTTGTCTAATTCCTGGTGTTGGACTTTACAACAACCCATAGATTATACAATTTTCTTTCCTTCCACAGGTGGAAGGAAAGAAAAATTGCTTGATTCCTCCATCACAGTCAGAGTTGATGGGGGAATGCTAACACTATTGTGTACGCTGGAGGAGAGCCTTCCCTGCCTGCAGGACACAATGAGCACTGCTGGTGGTTATAGCTGCTGGCAGTGATTGCATGAAAACAATCCAATAGGCTGGTTGTAATGAAGTCATAGAGGGATCGAAATCACCAGCCAAAATTTTGATTTGTCTATAGCCAGCTTAAAGCGGAGCTTCACCCAAAAGGGGAAGTTACACTTTAAGGCTTTGTTCCCTGCTGCCCATTAAGGATTGGCACCTTTGGGGATGGGGGGGAGCGGGTATCCAGATTTGACAGATACCCGCTCCCACTTCCAGTGCGATTACTTAAGGCGATTTTGTCTAATTCCTGGTGTTGGACTTTACAACAACCCATAGATTATACAATTTTCTTTCCTTCCATTTGACAGGTACCCGCTCCCACTTCCAGTGCGATTACTTAAGGCGATTTTGTCTAATTCCTAGTGTTGGACTTTACAACAACCCATAGATTATACAATTTTCTTTCCTTCCACAGGTGGAAGGATAGAAAAATTGCTTGATTCCTCCATCACAGTCAGAGTTGATGGGGGAATGCTAACACTATTGTGTTCGCTGGAGGAGAGCCTTCCCTGCCTGCAGGACACAATGAGCACTGCTGGTGGTTATAGCTGCTGGCAGTGATTGCATGAAAACAATCCAATAGGCTGGTTGTAATGAAGTCATAGAGGGATCGAAATCACCA